GACGTGAATGTAAATTTATGGATTTATGGAAGCGCAGGCAACAATTTAAAATGGTTTTAGTTGACTTTATGATTTCTTATTAAAAGCAGTGAAGGTTAAAAGTCTCAGTCCGTCCTTTGGTTGCGGTTTTATTTCTGCTCTTTGATTGTATTGGTGTCTGTTGTTGTTGTGTGGAGCGGTGATACAGGGATGGTTTAATATTCTCAAACATGGTTTTTATATAAATATATTTACTGTATGAATAACTTTGATCTCCAAAGTCAGTGGAAGTTGCAGCAATATAACGTTTACCCCTTCTTACACCAACTAATTCAATCTGATCAGAATAAATAAAGTCATATTCTGTTTATTTTTCTAGTGGTGGAAGCACATTTATTACATTTCTTCTGCACTCAGAGGGAAATATTGTATAGTTACAGTTACTTTACAATGTGAGATTTAACATATAAAAACATACAGTGTGATATTAATGAGCTTACAATATGAATTTTGATATAATGCTGTAATTATTATATTTATCATAAAGTTGCTGTTTTTGTAGTTTGTAGAGTTTTTGACTCCTGATGTTTTTATTTTCCTCTTTTCTTATTTCTTATTTTATAACTTTGTTTGTTTATATATATTTTTTTGCTTTTTCTGGATAAATAAAGAACAATTATTATATAGCAACGTACATAAATTATATAAAAGAAATATAATTTAAATGAGCTCAACCTCAGCCAGAGCAAACAGTGGATCAGTAGCTTAATAATCAGCAGATAATATAATAAAACAACATATTTCTGCAGAACAAACACGTTTACTTTCCCATACTTTTAGGTACATTTATCTGTCAATACTTTTGTACTTCTTTGTTTCTTAATAGGTTATAAACATAAAAATCCACCTGCCACTAGAACGACCAGACATTTTTATTAGCTCGTATCTCATCGTAACTCTTTACGTCTTTATTTGTCTAACAACTTTCAAGCTTCAGTCGCTCAACCTTTAAATATTGAATTCTGAAAGCAGGACTTTTAACCTGCAAATAGAGTATTTTTATTACACTTATTATATATAAAATGTACATTTAACTTCAAAACTGTTTCTTCCGCCACTGGGGTGGTTTATTCATCAAGCGCGGTACCGGACGCAACCACTGGATGCTGCACACCTTTCCTTCACGCACCGCTCCCACACAGTGCGTCCGGTCTCATCGTTTTAATGGGGGCACAATTATTAAAAAAGATATAAC